TGGATCAGCTGTCTGATCTACTTTCTATAGTTCTAGTGAAGATGCAGGCAGCAGCATCTGGATCAGCTGTCTGATCTACTTTCTATAGTTCTAGTGAGGACGCAGGCAGCAGCGTCTGGATCAGCTGTCTGATCTACTTTCTATAGTTCTAGTGAGGACGCAGGCAGCAGCGTCTGGATCAGCTGTCTGATCTACTTTCTATAGTTCTAGTGAGGACCCAGGCAGCAGCCTCTGTATAGCATAGTATAGCTCAAGCTAACACATGGAAATCCAGTGTTTAGGTGCTGAAAGGCTAATTATGAGATGATGAACTGAGTCATGTGCTAAATATTTATTTTAAAGTGATGTAAACATTCCATATTTAAATAACAATAGTGTAGTGCTACGCATGTTCTTGATCCACACAGGACATGATCTATGCACCCAGTGAAACCAGAGGGCCGGTCTCCGGAGCAACAACAGAACCTTTAGTTCGGTTTGGATGAAGAGACGTTTCCTCTGCATTAACAGATATTTAGAGAAAGAAGTCACGCTTCATGAACCCCTGAGCTGCTGGTGGGAGGCAGCTTTTAGAGTGTGAGCCCTCTGCAGATCTGCTATAGCTAGAGTGTGGGTGTTGAGAGGTCCACATTATCTAAGCAGATCTGGTAAACTGTGCAGAGACCAAAGTAATGGCTAACAAGGCCATTAATAGATTAGAGGGTTCCAGACTCAATAAAAGGGTTTTGTTGCTGTCAGTCTTGTCTCCTGGGCAGCGGGTGTCTTTGATTTGCTAAAGGCAGCTGGAGTCAAGCAGCAGCCTCCTGTCTATCTTGTCTCATCAGGCTGGGTAGCTCAGGGCAATAAGAGCATCCAGACCGTGTGTCCAGTTGACAGACGCCAGTTGAACCTGAATACGGCTTTACAATCACATTAGAAAGGTGTCAGGGCATGCAGATCCATTTCGCCCACTGACCGCAGGAGCGCAGAAGTTGATGGGCCGATTGGTTTCACTTTCCTAAGAGGATATTATCAGGTAATCGGATCAGACAGATTTGAATCTGGCAAAATGAAGACGCATTCATAGGCCGCATCTGAAGGGTTCTTTGGAGAACTCAAGGAGTGGGACAGCCTTTGGCTTTGAGGTCATCAGTCCACAGTAGGGATGGAACGGTTTATGAAAACCGTCCGAACTGTTCGGTTCGACTGTCTC